ATATATAATGCAAATATTTAAAGTTACTTGAAAAAAAATATTTTTTTCTCTGTAGTAACTTGATGTAGCACTTGCTTACTCCAATTGCTTTATTTTTGGCATTTAGAGAGTTTAACAATTTTATTTTTGTTGATGCATACAGCATTTACATGAACCAACAGATAAGGTGCATTTAACAAGGTCGAATTTCTTTTTTTTTTTTGACTGCCCTCTGTTGTGTTGTTAAATATTTTTTATTGAGGTTTAGCTTATATTTTCTTTGTTGTTATCCTTTATTCTTATCTCCACCCCTCTTATGTAGGCAGGAAGGCAGTGATTATAATAATGGAGGAAGTAGTCCTGCAATGTTGGAGCTCAGCTTTCCTGTGTCACACTGCCCTCCACAGTCTGCTCCAGGCATCTCAAGGGAAGAGCCACTAGCTCACACTCAGTGCTGGTTAGATGCCCAGTTTCAACCAACTTGTTGCTTCACTGAAGTGTCCTCCCACTCCAGGATACGTGAAGTAACTATGAGAGCTATTTTTGGACTCACATACTGCTGAGTGCACAGACAAACTGTGACTACACAGGTGTGCTGTCACTTCCTGCTAAGACTGCTGTGACGAAGGGACACAAAGATGTTGAGTGAGTCCTGAGGCAAGTATGGGGACAATTCACCTGAGGAGAGCGGTCCTGAGAGGAATGAAAATCATGTTTCGGGGAACAACTGTGATGTCTTGAAGTATTTGTCATCTGGGATCTTTTAAGAGCAAAAACTGGTGAAATACCCTCCAAATTCAAAGATGAGAACAGGCTCATATTCTTTTCTTTCTAACTTAATTTAAAATAGTATTGGTAACAAGGCAGAAAATAAAAGCCATAACTCCCTTAATAAAGTATCTTAACAGGGTAAGGCCTTTAGATTTCTAGGGTAGGCATTGCTAACCACCAAAGGAGTTCCTCACCAAGGGGTCCTCAGAGAGCTTGCCCAGAAGAGGTGCTGGACTAACCATGACCATGATGGTAAATTTCTTCTCATGTCCATGGGAGCTTCTAAGTCACCTTCCTGTTTAGGTCTGCTTCCAGAGACAACCTAGGTAAAACATCAATCCTCCTAGGACCGTCCTCCCCACCCCTCTCTCCAGCTCCCCGCCTGCTGCTCTCCTTCTTCTCCCCCCAGTTTCCTTACTTCTTCTTTTTCTCTTTTTTCTTTCTTTTTTCCTCTCTCCTTCTCTTCCTGCCCTCTGCTCTCGCACCCCCTTTTCCTTTATCCCTCACTTTCTCCCTTACTCTTCCCTCCTCTCTCTCTTCTCTTCCCTTCACTCCCTCTCCTCTTTCCCCTTTCTTCCTCTCCCTTCTTTTCTCTTTTCCTGGACTATTTTATCGATGCTGTTGGGCATCCAGGTAGGTTTTAATCTCTTTAGACATGAATCCCTTCATGTCTAAAGAATGACATATACATTTTAAAATAAAAACTTGAGCAATTTTCCTGTCTGTCAAATGTAATGACCTGTTAAGGTTTTGGAGCCTCCCCCCACTGTCATAAACATACCACCTCTCTCACAATTCCAGTACCCAGAAGTATATTTACTAAAAAGCTAAATATAGGTGAAAAACTGTTGTTTTGTTAAATAAATTGAGTCTATATTAGTATTTAAGACCATTTATAGTTGTGTATTGTCTTTGCCTTTTATCTAATTTATAAAAATTAAGAAATATTTTTGTGCCTTAATGTATTAGGAGTTTTTGTTATATACCACTTATGCTGTGTAGTTGTGTTAATATTACTGAACATATGTTATAAAAACTTCAGTCAGCTTAAAAACAAACAAAACAAAACAAAACAAACACACACGCGCACACACAAAGCAAAGTAAAACTCATTCCGCTAGTTTCCACTTCCTGGTGTGACGTCACACAGCCGAATAGCTAGGTCAGCTCAAGAGGCCTTTCCATAGAAATGAGAAACACTGGCCTCAGGTGGCCGCTAAGTGGCTCTGCTCCGGGAATTCCTCATAGTGGCTGATGTTGAGACTGGAGTGGTAGGAGACTGGGCATTCATGAGTTGGCTTCTGTGATTTCAAAGTGATCCTCTCTCGGGCCTCGAGGTGGGTGGGGAGAGTGGGCAGGGTGAGATGAAGATTTCGGGTGACAGGGAAGCTTTTATTTCCTTCCTTCCAGCTCCAAGTTTTCTGCTTCTCCCAGGGCAGAAGCCTTCTAGATGAGTTTTAGAAAATTCTCGTCTGGTGCCAATTCCAGTCCTTTGTGTGTGCTGTAGGCTAGGCGTGCTAATTCTGTTTTATTAGTTCGTTTCTGCACTTGCTCCATAGCCACTGATCTCACCCTATAAAGATAACACAGCTGCCCTGGGAGAAGAGGACTCACAAATGAACACAACACAAATCCTCTTCTTGAGTGACTGAAAGGGGAGTGAGCCGGACTAGCATCCAAGTAGCTAAGATCCACGTAATGTACATGAATGAAACACCTCTGTATTTTAGGTCAGAGCCTTGGATGGCAGTGAGCCCAAGGAGCGGTAAATCCCAATCCTGTCACTTACTGTTGTTGGGATGGTGGCCCAGGTAAGATCACCGTCTTGGTCAACAGTACCTGTCAGAAACAGAGGTCTTGGCCCCATCTCTGTACAAGGGCATCGGGCAGAGGCTGGACACCCAGGTAGCGCTAATGAGATCTTAGAGGTAACAAGGATCCACGAGGAAGAGATAAAGGTGTGGTGACAGTGGGTCCAACTGGGGAGTCGGAGGGTACCGTGGGCAATCCATGACTGCAGGAAAAGTAGTAGTTTAATCAGGAGAACAGATATTGGAGGCTCTGATATTCCTAGGATGTGCTGATGTATCTGTTTTGTTTTTATTCTTGTAATGATGTGTTACTGAATAATGATGGATTACTGAATAAACTCAAGCATGAAACACAAATGTGCATGCATGTGGTGTACAGAGAGGGAGGGAGGGAGGGAGAGAGATAGAGACAGAGACAGAGACAGAGAGAGATGTCAACTCTAAAATTTGCCACAGTGTGTTCTTATGCAGAGGTTGTGTAAAGCCAGGGGGATCTAGAGGAGGGAGACATCAGTGAAGTGATTCCCAGAGAACAAAAGACAACAGAGATGTTTAAGGCCAAGTCAAGCATAAAACACTGAGACTCTGTGTTAAGATGACAGCATTGGAAAATTAAAACAAATGTAACAAACACTATATGACTATCAAGGCAGTGGTAGAATCCATTTTCAGAGACTTGGGAATGATAGAGTAATAGGAATAATTTGTAAAAAACTGGATTATCTAAAGGAAATTACAACGAATATGAATGACGGTTGACTGTATGTAATGAAGTTGTTATTCCAACTTTGCTTTTTGGACATAGATCCCCTTATCATTCACAAAACTTTTCCCAATGCTCTCATGAAGAAAGACATCAACATTTCTAAGGGACTCCACAGTGATATATTCGTTCTGAGATTATCATTGAGTCCTTGGGCATTGCTGACAGGGTCAGAGGGATTGCCTGGGTCTAACTGACAGTGGACTTGATATTGCCCCACCCCATCCATTGACTAAGGATCGGTGGTGTCGCCTTGGAGGAAGAACAGGACACTGCTTCTCTCCCAGCATCACCAAGTGCTTCCAGGTTGCAGGAATGCTGTGCCTACTCTTGACAAAACTGACATGAAATTAAAGTTGGCATTGACTTGTTCATTACATCACCATCACCATAATCATAAGTACATTCAGTGTTTTATCTTTGAAATTTCTTCAACTGTCCTGTCAGCAGAATACTTACAATGATGGAAGAGCTAGAGTATGTGGATTTATATAAATTATGTATTTCCTCATTCTAGTTTATTGTAATATTGGAGGTATATTTCAGAAAGAAATATAGTATCTTCAAAAATCACACTATAGATATTTGAAAGCATATAAATTTGAGAAAGAGAACCATGTTGTCTTTATTTAGTAAATTTATCAAAATCTGTAGAAGTGGCCTCAACCTTTTAGGAACCAAAATGTAACATGAAACAAGCTAAGTACTTCCAAGAAATGGGTTGGGATGCTTATTTCCCCATGAGCACAGGGACGTGTGAGGGAGTGAAGGAATCCATTTCCTGTTGGCAATGTGTCCCATGCTGTGCTAAGTTGTTCTGGCTGTTGTGGAAACAGGCCTGTTCTAGATGTGCCACGGGCCATCATCAAATCTAGCATAACTACTTCCAAGGTTTTGCTCAGTCTTGTGGCTTGTCCCTCACCTTATTAAACCTACATAGGTGCTTATTACACAACAGGGAAAGTAAATACCTTCATTCTAGGGGGCTGCTGTGACAGAAGCATGCAGCTGTTTGAGACCCTAGAAGCACCCACCTCAGAATATTGTTTCATAGACTAATTGAGAAATTATGTCACATAATCAAAGTCACTCTTTTGTTTTTAGTTTTTCTATTTTTTTATCCCAAATGATAAGTAAATATTTGGTTTAGAGAAATGCATTTATAAAACCAGAATTTTTTTTAAACCAAACTCAGCTTCATTTTTTTCCTGGCATTCACAACATCTTCAGGATTAACCCGGTGGCACCCTACAGGTGTTGCTGGAGAAACAGTGTTCAACCCTGTGGCAACCTTCCTTGCTTCCTTACTCTTATCCACCTGTCTTCCAGTTTTTGCTTCCTTTGACTTCCCATTTTCTGTTTCTTTGTGGGGGATCAAGGAACACCCATTCTGATATTAATCTTTCCCTTCTAACAGAATCTGCATACCAGTCAATGCACTTTCCATACATGTTACAGGGTCATCACGTCTCCCACAGACACGAAGTCAATGTCAGTGGCCCCCTCCATTTCCTAATGCAGCAGCCCACTGGGCAGTACTGTTCCTCTCTCTGTTCCATGTGCTAGATAGCACTGACTAGTGGACCAGAGGATAGGAGAATCCACAAAGGTAGACACGAAAGATACAATGGTGTTGAGAAACAAACTCTTTACTTCCAAAGGCTCAAGAACAGGATAATAACAGACTGGGAAGTTATCAACAAGCTCTCCAGATAGCAGGGTGCTTACTGTGTGGGCATGCAGAGAACAGGAAGAGCCTGGAGAGATCTGAGCTCGCTTACAGAAACATCTCAGCTCTTAAAGGGAACAGGAAAACTGGGAAAGAGGTCCTTATGTTGGCAAAGGTTGTTAGACTTGACTCTGAAAATGTTTCTTTTCCCAATGGCACTGTCCAGATCAGCAGCAGCCCCCAGAGCTGTGGCCACAGCCTGAGCCCCCAGACTGCTGGCCACTGCCATGGTCACAGGAACTGCCACGGTCACAGGAACTGCCACGGTCACAGGAACTGGAGCTCCTGCGCCTGCATCTGTGGGACCTGCGCCTGTGGTGGCTCAGGAAGCAGCCTCCCTCAGAGCTGGGGACACTGCAGCCCCCAGAGCTTGTAGCACAGCAGGAGGAGGCTGCAGGCAGACACTGTGCTGTGCTCTTTGGGGGGCACTTGGGGGAGGGGCACTTGGGAGGAGGCTGGCACTGCTTCTGGTTCTGCTGGCAGGACATCACTGCAAGGAGTCAGTCTGGGAAAGCAAAGAAAATATCTTTAGGCCAGTGTGTCCCTTGGGAATGGTTTCATAAAGCCCTGCTCCAAAGACTTGCTACTCTCTGAGCTGTGATCTTTGCAAGGCAAAGGGTAATTGGTCTCCATGCCCTGCAAGCCACTGCCTTCCTGTTACCCTGCAGGCAGGAGGGAATGCTGCTACTTCTAAGTAGCTCTCTGGTGAGCTGAAACAAACAGATAATGGGAGAATGGCTCTTGCAGAGTTCTCTGGGCAGATGTAGGCCTCTCAGGAGAGAGCAAGAAATGCAGAGAACCAGGACTCTGCTATGTCACAGGCTCTGATGCACCCACACAGGCTCCTGTCTGTGTTCTCCTCACTGCCCCTTGTCCCCAGCGGTCCTCTTCCTGCTGCCTTCCCAATAGACACTTCTGCTTCCTCCTCCCCAGTCAAGTCCGGCTTGTCCTCTCTGCACACCCTGGATGAGGCCCCCTCCCTGGTCAGGTACTCACCAGATGCAGTAAGGGCGGGAGGAGAAGGCTGAGCTGAAGAGGCTGTGGGTGAATGGTCCAGGGCAGCAGCCTTTTTATCCTTGGCAGGGTGTGATGCACAGCCCAAGCATGCTGCTGCTTTCCCAACCAGGGAGGTGACAGAGCCAGCACTCCTAGTATCTTCCTCATGTTTCTAAGATCCTGACAAGAGACCATTACATCACTTCTGCCGTTGCTTCCCTGGTATACCTGAGACCTGCCATTGTTTCTTTCATGTATCCAGCTAGAGCTATAACCTGTTTTTCTCTCCTTTTTTTGCTGGGCAGTGTGAATGTAGAGATGCATAGAATACATTTCCTGCCCTTGAGCATTTCAAATACAGCTGCAGAGACAGAAGAGTATATATATATATATATATATATATATATATATATGTGTGTGTGTGTGTGTGTGTGTGTGTGTGTGTGTGTGTGTTTGTGTGTTATATACATATGTGTGTATGTATATACAGTACCATACAACATATATATAGGACCACATATATATAGTACCGTATATGTATATGTATATGTACATGTATATGTATATGGTACTGTGAGAGTTTATTGTGTGATGCGAATGTCTCCAAAACATTTATGAGATTTGATTAGATATGATTAGGTCCTGATTCTCAAGAGTGTTAAATCATCAAACCACTCAGGCCCAGGAATGGGATGCATTTGCTAATGGACAGAGAATGGATCCCAGACCCCGGGGAAGGCAGAACTGAAGTTCAGGAAAGATGTGGATGAGAGGCAAAGCCAAGAAGGCCATTAATATCACCCCAATGTAATGTGGTCAAGGAGGGTGTCCATATTTATCCTCTGAGGAATATTTGGTATGGGGTATGAGGGGATAAAATGATCTTGAAATATGGAATATTAAATATGATTGATGAATGGCAATCATTTTTCAGTGTCCTGCTAATGACTAGGTTGATGATATGGGGTACTGTCTTCATCTTCATCACAATTAATGAAATTATCATAATAATTTTCAACATTTCTGTACATGTTTTTTAACAGAGAAAAGATTTTTAATATGCTGCAGTGGATTAAGCAGTGTTTTGAGTACAACTTCCTTGGGAACACATAAAAAGAGTCTACTCTTTACTTGTAAGTTCCAGACAATAAAGCAAAGTTTGACTCTAGTAGAGTGAAGCCTGGTAAACCCAAGGCTTTGACTGAGTGAGCTTACTATAAAGACGGGGAAGGAGGTTCATGCAAGAGTGTGAAAGACCACTGTGCTGGAAAGTCTCGGTGCAGCATAGATGATGGTGTTTCTGTAGTCACATAGATGGAGTTCATCTCAGTTAGTCATCCCAGCCCATACTTTAGCTCCTCCCAGACTCCCTTGTCTTCTGTAGTTAGGGCAGAATTGCAATTGCACAGAAATGGTTGCCAAGAGCACCTGAAACTTCAGATCAGGGTCCAAGGACCCTTCCTGCTCTTCCTTTTCTCTGAAGGGACATCAACAACCATTAGGCAGCTGGTGATGATTTTTATGTTTTTTTTAAATCAGGCACAGGTGATCTGATGAAGATGGATGCTGCTCTGCTCAGTAGCTCCCAATGTATGACAGACAGTAATGAGCACTGCCTGTCTGTGGAGGATTTTTATGAAATATGAATTTTCTTTTTTAAAACCAGATTTTATTGCACTATTAAAGACGAATTTGTCTTTGAATTCATCTGCTATCATAATTATTTGCTTCCCAAATTGCCATCAGAAGGTATAACAGAGCACTGTTTATATTTACATTAAATTATAGTTGTTAAATTGGGATCTATTCCTTGTCCCCATGTTTGGAAGGGCCATGCTTACGTAACCATATTAAAGAATGCGCATATTTTACTTCACACCGTCTTCCCTCCTCTCCCTTTCCAGCTTTTCTCTTGTCTGCTTTGTTGACTACACAGTTTCACTGCTACTTTCATGCCACATACACACACATTTTATTTATGTATGTGATATTTAGTATCTACCAAAGAGATAAAACATGATATTTGTCTTTCTGGGACTTTACTTCACATAATGCAATAACTTTCAGAGGCATCCATTGGGTGATAAATTTAATTGAAACACTTTTATGAAAAATCTGTGCTTGCTTCTGTATACTTTAGTTTCTGGGTTTTTGAAACAAAACCCCTAAAATGATGTTCTTTACTCTATTCAAAATGTGGGGAATTCATACTTTCTTTTGAAGTAGCCACAGAGCCATGAATTGCACTTGGATGAGGAATGAAAGAAAGTGGAAGGACTAAGTAGTTCTCCTTTCTCATTTTCCTCTGACTTCAGGTATTTCTTGCCCCAAGAATATTTTCAAAACTTAGATCATTAACAACGCTGAAGTGTCCTTTTCCTTCTAATAGCTTAGCATTCTATAGATTGTTACTGTACTAGAAGAGATTGTCTGTCACCCATTGTTTGTTGAGAAAAGTCTCCCTGATCTCAAGCACTTGGATATTTACTCCCCAGTTGGTGGTGGTGTTTGGGGAAATTAGGCGGCGCAGGCTTGCCAGAGGACATGCAGCCCCAGGAGTAGACTTTCAGAGTAAAAGCCATGGCCTGTTTTTAACTTGCTCCCTCTTCTTATTTCTTTCATTTGAAAAATGTGAACTCTAAACTTTCTGCTCCTGCCATCACGGCTGCTGTGTGGTGCTGTGAATGTCCTGCAATTGTGAACTCCTGTTCCTCTGGACCAGCAAGCCCAAATCAGAAATGATTGTTTTAAGAGTTGAGCGCAACTTATATAATTTGGAAAGTTGAAGTTTTCCTGGACTTGGTGCTGTCAAAAGGCAAAAGATACATAACAATACAGTTATCGATCTTTATCATTGTCAACCAGAAAGATGTTAAACCTTCTTTATCAAAATTTAAAAATCTTCATTATTTTAAACTAGATCAATGAGGCAGGTTAAAGTTATAAATGCTAATGTGGTAGTCACTCACATTAGCTAAGGAGTGGATGTCTGGTCTTGTGTGGTTTAGACACACACCACTGTTGGCCTTCAGAATAACCTTGGCCGTGGTTTACTCCCTTATGACCAGAGTCAGCAGGACTGTTGGAGGTCTGTGAAATGTGTGAAATGCTTGTATTCAACAGAAGACTATCATAGCATTCGCTCTTAGAGCCAGCTCAGCTCCTCCCAGACTGTGGGACTGCTCTTCCTTTTCTTAGCAGTGATATAGTCAGGTCAGTCTAACCAGCAATAAAGAAAGATACAGTAGTTGTCACAGATACACCGTGTATTTACTGTTCTCATTCTATGGCAGATTGAGAAACTACAGAACAATTAATTATACAGAGGTATTGAGTGCCAAATGAAATTCTAAGTGTTACAGGGTATATAAGAACAGAACGATATTTGAACTTAGATTTCCTACCAAAAATGTCTGTTATTGCCTCATGCGTATGGTCATCAGAAGCTTTGCTTTGACTCACAATGGCAAACCTTCAGTTATTTTGCCTATGGGTTATATAGACAGAAGGAAGAGATGGGGTTAGGTGGCAACAATTGAACAAGGAAATACATTACCCTTTTGAGCTAATTCAAAGTATCAATCTATAAGTTCCAGGGGTTTTCAGTGCAGAATCTCGCCTCTCTTTATGGCAGACAGGGTTGTCTGAAAAGTTTTCCTTTGCTTCTTTCCCTGATTGTTTATCAGGGAGATTTCTGAGACACCTGACGATGGAGATCATTAATCGCATGACTAGTTTGGTGGACTGTCTTGTCTCTCACTTCCTTTTCTTTATGAGATCACATGATCTACAGAGCACCCATCCTGTGATGACTGACAGCTCATAGCTCTGAGTGTCTGATTGCTCCTTTTCCCCTCCCTGAGAACAAAGGCTCCAATCCCAGTAGTCTCACCGTGAGTAGCATTCTCTCTATATGGTTTCAGCACATACAGGAAATACAGAGACTTGTCTAGCTGGAGGAATCTTGATGGAATTTTACGGCTTAGTCATTCTAATTGGTACTACAGGAAGGATCAGTACAGGATTTCTTTGTAGCATATTTTCAATATTCTTCCCAACAATCCAGGATGAGTCAATAACACAAAAATAAACTTTTTTCCTTACAGGTCAGTCCCTCCCATCCTCATAACAGTTAAATTCCAGAAGGAAGAGGCAGCTGGAGAGCCGCCTATCTTTAATGCCAATCTGAAGACATGTGCCATAGGGCTTTTATATAGATTATATATAGATGCTTATTCCCTCCTGAGATTAAGCTGTACTATTTGAAAGTATTCGTATCTTCAGGGTCCTCTCTGAGAAAGTTACAAATGGATGCAACCTGTAGGGAAGCATAGATTAAAGTTTTATCCTAATATGAGGATGATATCTAAAGTCTCAGAACTGAAAATACCAGAAGACCTTGATCCGCTTCATATTTCCTGAGATACTGTGCTTCAGTCAACACAGCACAGGGGGAAAAGGATAAAACAAAAGCACTCCCTTCCTACTTTACTCTAC